AGGGCCAACATGACATTGGATGCCACTCGCAGCCCACGGCCTGCCAGCTGCCCTCCCTGTAACTCCTGCAGAGCAGCCATAAGGAACCTCCAATGCAAGAGCAACCCTGGGAGCCCAACTGGGGAGGGTGCACAGCCGAGCTCTGGGTGAGAAGAGTGGCCAGACACTGGCTTGAGGGCCTTTGAGGCCACCGCAGGGCCACAGCCAGAGTCCCCAGCTAGTGCTGCACACAGTGAACACAAGGAAAAAACAGGGCATCCTCTGGTCCCAAACTTGTGCACCCAATTCCAGACTGTGGCCTTGTTTGGAGAAAGGGTCTCTGTGGACATAATCAAGTTGAGGAGACCTGTGTCCAGGGTTATACAGCCAAGGGATCCTAGAGTTGCCAGGGACTGGACTCCACCCCAGCCTCCGAGGGACACGGCTTGGAGCACCCAGGCAACTTCAGTGCTTAGAGTGCCTGGCACTTTTTCACCACAGCCAAAGGACATGAGGACACTGCACTTGATCTTAGCCAAAAGGCCAAGAAACGATTGACATGGGGACACTGATAGTTGTATTGTGTTGGAAGCTGTGACTCTCATCACAAAGAAGTCATAGCCATGCTCCTGCTGCCTGTTAACATGTGCAAAACACTGAGAAGCAACAGAAAAGCCATCCCAGCCACCATGTGTGTAAGCGGCACCCCCTCCTGTTTCCTTTTTGCAGGCGAAGAAACAGGCTGGGAAAGTCTGGTAGCCCAAGTTTGCCTCCTGAGGCCCCCTTTGTGGGGTTGGGCTGTCTCAGCTTCAGATCCAGGTGCTTAGAGGACAGAAAAGGTGAGGCTTAAACATACTCACTGGTACTGTCCTGATACCAGCCCTAGGCTCCATGTATCCAGTGTGAGCCCAGCGAGGGCCCCGGCCACCTCCAGGGCAGTAGCGAGGCTCCTCTGCTGTCCTGAGCAAACTCGTGCAAGGGGCAGCCCCACAGCCTGGGCCCTCACCTCTCCCACTGGCCCCTTCCAGGGCAGCGAAGGTGACACCCTGGAGCCCGGCTTGTGCTGGCCATGTGGCCACGGCTGTGAGCACTGAGGCTCTAAGCCCTTCCTCTAGACTTTGGGGCTTCCCGCTCTCCCTAGCTCCTCCTCTGCCACAGGCAGTGACAACATGGAGCTCATGGGCCATGCCAAATACTGCTTTCAGAGCCTCCCAGGGGGGCTGGAGCTTTCCTGTCAGGGAGGAGGCTGGGGGTGGTGTGCCCAGGCATGCATTGCTGTCCTGTCCTAGCAGGAGGCCCGCTGCTCCCTCTGCAGACCCTGCAGACCTCTACTGGGCCAGAGAGGCTGCTAGAGTCAGTGGCTGGTGAGGCTGTTGGTGACCTTCTGGGTAGAGGGGAGTGGACCTCTTAGGGGACAAGCACCAGATGACAGGCCTGTCTGGGAGGGCTGGGGCTACATGGTGGGGTGCCAGGCTTGGCACCTGTGCACTTGGCTGCCATGCCAGCAGTGGGGAGAGCCCCTTGCAGGGTGTGTAGTTGTGTTCTGTGTGCTGTTGGGTGGGATGATTCAGTTTTCTGGGCCTCAGCCATAGCAGGTGCCTGGTGAACACCAACTCCTGTTATTACCCATGTTTGGAGAATGAAGCCAGGGCCCCTCCCAGGACAACCCTCACTGTGAGGAGGCTCCCAGGGTCTCTGTCCTGGAGGACATTGCTATTTGCACCCCACTTGGCCTTCCCCATCCCTGCCCACCAGGGCCACACTGCAGTGCCAGCTAGGTGCCAGCTGGGGCATCCACTGGGCTCCAGGCCCCTGAGCCAGTGCCCAGGACACTGCACACCCATCCTGACCTCCCCCACCCTGTGGTCCTCACCTCTCCTCCCATGGGTGCCTGGGGATAAGCAACGTGGCAGAAGCCACCCTGGGGCCATCTGGGCCTGAGCCATAGCCCCAGGACAGAGGCAACAGAGAAGGGCAATGGCTTCAGCTCTGGTACCCCATGAGGTCCCTGTGATGTTGTTCCCGTGTGGTCACCCCTATGAATCTGGGGATAGGGGGCCTGGCCTGTGCTTACCAGGACCTTGTCCCTCTGTCTCCAGGGAAGGACAGGGCCCTCCTGAGACACTAGGAAGATGCTCAAGACAATGTCACAAACAGAGGAAAACCTTGCAAGCAGCAGGAATGGACGTGGCTGGTTGGGGAGGGCAGGTATCTGAGACCCCGCTGGGAGGTTGGGGTTCTCCTCCAGGACCCTGCAGTGAGCCAACTGTCCAGGGGAAGAGGTCATACGGTGGGAGCCCCAACCCGGATCACTGCATCCACCCGTCCGTGTCTCTGTCTATGGTCTGTACAGTTCTCAGCAACAGGAGACTTGGAGGTGGCCCCATGAGCCCTGCTTCAGAGAGATGGGGTTCACAGCTCCCCAGGAGCACAGCAACAGGGAGGGTCAGGGCTCTGGCTGAGCACAGGTAGCTCCTGCAGGTGTCCAGACTGCAGGCAGACAGTGCCCCCAGAGGCAGCCGAGGCCACAGGCAGTGGAGAGCCACCTGGTCAGGCATCAGGAGGCAACCCGGTCCCTACTGCAGAAGGAGCCCCACACCATTTCTACCCATATTTTTCCAATGAAAAGGCAGACACCGACTGCGGCCTTGGGAAGGGGCCACTTGGTGGCGTCCTATACCTCTTGGTCCCCACCCACCTGTCTGCAACCTGTCCCCTGGTGTCCATGTCCACCACAGCAGCCCAGGTGAATTGTACTGGCAAGGCCAGAGCTGGGCAGGTTGAGAGGAGATGCACAAAGCAGACTGGCCATAAGATGTGAGCCCCATGCTTCCTGGCTGCCTACCCAGCATCCTCTCTTGTGGCAATACCACCCCAGGCCAGCTGTGGCCTGGCACATGGAGCTACTGCAGCTTTCATATCTCCTGTCAACCAGGTTTCCAGCCGCTATTCTATTCTATTGGCCACCTCCAGGCTACCTCATGCCAGGGGTGGGGACACCATGGTGTAAACTGTGTATGGACTGGTGTCCCAGGGCCACTGAAGGCCAGGTGGCCTGGGCCGCTTGGGGACCAGTCCGTCCCATGGCTGCTGAGGACCCCTTCTCCCCACTCTCATCCCCTGCAGCCATAGGAGTTGCCCCTGGAAGGTGCCCAGGGACCACGCCTCCTCCCTGGTTGGCTCCTCTGACAGGGCAAGTGCCCCAAACAGTTGCACCCACGGCTGAAGCTCCTGACCACCCGGAACACGGCACAGTAGAGGGAGCCAGGCATCTGAGGAACGGGTATTGCGGCCACAGCAGGTGTCACACATGGCCAGGAAGGTGGAGAGGATGGGGGCACCAAACAGCCTGTGTGGGCTCCAGGCTCTCTGGAGCTTCCGGTGCTTCTCCATGCCTGAGCTGCAGAGTCCTCACCAGTCTCTGGCCTCGGTCTCCTGTTCACTGTGGGTGCAACACCTCTGAACACACCCCAGCAGCAGAGAGCCCCAGTGCTCACAGGAAGGGCAAGCCCGGGCTAATTGTCACCAGACAGCACGAGCCCAGGCCAGCGCAAATACAGGCTAACATGGGCAGGGTGAGCCTGGGCAAATGCAGGCTGGCGAGTGGCCTGTGCCTGGCCCTCAGGGCCTCCTGAGGCTCCTGCTCAGTGGCCTAAAGACCTGGCCTTAATCGCACTAGCTCTGCTTGCTGCTCTGTGCTCCTTGCCCTTGGCCACTTTGACTGCCCAGCTTATGACCTCTGTATGAGTGGGGACATTGAGGCAATGAATGGGAGCTGCCTGTTACTGTCTCCCACCACTTCTGTTGCTAAGCTTAGTATACTGTGGCTTGTGTGGGCGTGGTCCAGGGCACCGTGTGTACCCTAAGCCCCTACCCTGGGCATCAGCCTGCAGGGGAAGGCCCCCTGGAAGTGAGACCCTTGGAAATGAGCCCCCAAATGTGAGTCCCCAGCAGGAGACCCTGCCCAGCCCAGGAGAGGCCTCGCCCACTTGGGCCATGGTAGGAGTCTGGACCTGCCTCAGGGTGGGGGCTGCAGTGAAGTGGCAGAGGCCCAGCCCACTGCCCTAGTGACTGGAGTCGGCTCACTGCTGGAGAGAAGGTGGGTGGCAACAGAGTGACCTTTGTCCCTTCACCCATGTCACGTATCCTTGGAAGATAGGAGAGGGGTAGGAGCCACAGCAGCCTCTGCCCCTGCCCCTTTTGGCTGTTTCCCTGAACACTGGTTTTAGGAGCTGCTGGCTCAGCACTTTCCCTGGGTCTGTGACTAGGCCTGGCCAGGTGCATGGCAGGGCAGTGGGCAGGCTGGTCCCTGCATGGTTCCTTCTGCCCAGTGGTGCCCCCCAAACACAAGGAGGCCTGCAAAAAAGGGGCCACACAAGCTCCTGGGCACATGACCACCCTCCCGGATGGCCTGGGCCATGGTAACCACAGGAGCAGCACTGCCCACCACCAGTGGGCTTTCACCTGCTTAGAAACCTGCCTGGGGACCATAGGATATGGCCTACACCTCCAGGGCCCTTGCCTTGTCCTCACTGTCCCCGCCACAGACTGTACTGAGTTCCTGCTGCCCTGCATGCTTGCCAGGTCACTCTGGGTGTGTGACTGTGGATAGGTCCTCACCCTTGGCCACACGAGCTGCTGAGGTGCTGCCCTATAGGGTGCTGGGACCCCAAAAAAGGCCCAGGAGGTCATGGGTAGCTGAGCTGATCCAGTGGTGAGTACCGGTTAATAGGACTTGGTTCCTCAGGAGGAGGGTGACTGTCATGGAGTCTCCCTGTCCCAGCTGTCTGCAGCTCCAGCCCAAGAGCCCAGTGCCTGTGCTGCCTGCCAGGCTCTGACCCAGGGTGCCCTCCATCAAGGCTTCCATGCCCACTTGCTCCAAGTCAGAAGCCTGGGTATCCAGCCAAGAGGCCCCTAGCCCATGAGGCTGGCACTCCCACAGTACAGGTGGGACACTCTCTGCCCAGTGTCAGGGCCTACCCTGCCTGGGTCAGGAGGAGGACAGAGGCAGCTGGGCTTACCTTGTCATCCACGCCACTCTCGCTGTCACACTGTGGGGACAGAGAGAAAAGGAAGTGAGTTAGGACTGGTGCACAGGATGGGATGGGAGGGCTGAGGGGCAGCAGTGGGGGCCAAGGTTGGATAAGGGGCACAGCAAGGCCAACTAACTTGGGGTGGGCAGGCCCAGGGCCAGCCAGCCCCGCAGTGAGAGAGACAGACATAGAAAAACAGAGGGATAGAGAGACAGCACCATAACAGCCACACAGAGCACACAGCTGGATTGTCTAGGCTGAGGCACAAGGCCAGCCTGGGGCAGTGCAGGTGGCCTCACATGCCAGGTAAGCTGTGGCCCTGTGGCCTTGCAGCCCTGAGGGGAGCTCTGAGCAGAGGCCCCACTGCACAAAGGACCCTGGTCCAGCACAGGGGTCATGACAGCTGCTCCACACCCAGACGGATAACCCAGGAGAAAGGCCCGGTGGGGCCACATGGCCTGGGCACACAGCTTGAGAGCCCCTGTTCCCTCTCCTGGGGACATAATGGGAGCATGGCACCCTCCCTCCTCTAGGAGGACCTGCCTGACCCCACTATGTGCTCAGTGCTCAGGAGGAACCAGGGCTGGTGGGGTCCGGGAACCTGCTCAATGTCAACACAAGACCATGGCAATCGAGAAAACAAATCTCAGTCTTTCGTATTTGCTAAGCTGAGCTCTGAAAGGGTGCACAGCTCAGGAACAATGCTGTTTTCCCTAAAGAGTAAAAAGAAGAGACCTCTTTCTAGCAGCAGCAACTATGATGCATTCCGGTGGGTGAGTTATACTGCTGGAGATAAATCTGTCCCAGACACCTGGGCAGGTGATTGGCCCCAGCCCAGCATGGGCCAGGTGGATTTTATAAATTGTGCTCACCTTGATTAACATGGGTGATTAAATCACACTGCCTTCCACCAGGCCCCGAGCTGATGATGGCAACGTCCTCAATGACAAAGCTCACAGAGCAACATGAAATGTGCTTCACCTCACTCCAGCTTGGTGCCGAGTGTGAAGGTGGCTCAGCTGGCCTACTGGGTGGCTGGGATGGGCATGTGGGGCCTTCCGTGGCTGGCAGGCTTCACGCCACAGACAGACAGACCATCTGCTCCATGGGCCTGACCCAGCCCCGGGGTGGGTGTCCTGTCCCACAGAGGATGCCATGGGCCTCTCCTGGCTGCATGGCTTGGCCAAGCTCATACCAGGTCCCTGGTCTTGGTTCTTCCAGTGGGAGGTGACAGGAAGTGTTGTCCCATGTTCCCTGCCTGGCAGGGTTGTGTGTGCCCTCTCCACCTGGGTGTGCTGCTCTCTGAGGCTGAGCACCCCTCTGTGAGGTGGGTGGGACCTGGGTTGGGGTGCGTGGGCAGGGAGAAAGGTCCCCCAACTGGCTGTCAGGAGGATGAGGACCTAGACTGAGGAGGGGCTGGCGAGATGCCAGAGCTTGTGGGGCACGGAAGGAAGGTGAGGCAGGAAGTGAGGGGACAAGGCCGGAGAGGCAGGGATGCGGGAGCTGCGGGACATTCAGGTGCTGCTCATGTGGGGAACAATTCAGGAGCTGTGACTGGCTCTGGGGAGGTTCCTCTGTTGCTGGCAGAGGCCAAAGAGGAGAGTGGGTTGAGGCTTGTGGGACGGAGGTGGTGCAGCCCAGTGCACATCCAGGGATGGTCAGTGTGCTTAATGCTCCTGCAGCCTGGGCCTTGTTCCCCTTACCAGCACTGGGGACCCTCCCACTGGCAGGGTGGGTACTGTCCTGCCGAGAGCTGCTTGTCACTCAGGGCCAGTGAACTACCTGCTGAGCCTGTCCTTGGTTCTGTTCCCAGGACCCCAGAGTCTGGAGACGGCAGTCCACATGGACCCATACACAGGCTGGTCACAAACTTCCTCACAGCCAGAGGCCCAAGGAGGGCAGTTTAATGTGTCCATAGTCAAGCAATAGGGGCCTATTGTGGGCCCAGGAGGAGAACCTCTCAGGTCCTGTAATTACCACACAACATGCTGTGGTCGGTGCCCATAAACTTGAATTATTAAGTCCTGCTGAATTAAGATTTTACTACAGTGGAGCCAGAATTGAGTGAGGTGATTAATCAGAACACGGAGGGAACAAGCATCACATCTGTCTTTTGGAAGCTGCTTGAGTGAGGTGACCTTTGTGGAATAGGACTGGGTTCACACCCCTGATGTGAGCATGGACAGTCCTCATGCCAAGGAGAGAGGGCACAGATGGTCAGACCCAGGACACAGGCTCTGGAGCAGACCCTGCTGTGAAGCTGCTCTCCTATCTAAGCTGTGCCACCTTGGAAAAGTGCCCTGACTTCTCTTTGTCTCATTTATGCTTCTGGAAAACAGGAAAAACAATCCATTTATAGGAACTATCTATCATGCAGCTTAAATGAGTGAATGCATGCAAAACTTTACAACAGTGTTGGGTGCACAGTACATGACATGTGTGATGATATCACCGTTCACTCTCACCATCATCACTATGACCAACATCACCACCACCACCATCACCGTCATCACCACCATCACCATCACCATCACCTGGGACAGCTGTGCAGGAGGAGGTAGGGAGAACTTGGCCTCCATCACCCCCGCCTTCCTTTGTCCTTCCAGAAGCCTAGTCAGCTGCCTGCTGGGATAGGGTTGCCCCTTGCCCTTGTACACCGGGAGACATGGAGTCAGCATGGCAATTCAGCAGCCATGGAATGCACCTTTTTCTTCTCAGCATGAATGTTAATTACTACTTACTGCTTCTTTGTGTACTTGTGCTTGGAGGAGGCTGCCTGACTCCATGGCTCTGACAAAAGTACGCAAATTCATGATCTTGCTTACTGTCCCCAGGTACAGTAACTCAGTACCAGGCCTGCAGGGATGCTGCCTGGCCCCAGAGCCCATTGTGCAGTGTCTCTGTGTAGGAGGGGCACAGAGGCAGTCCTAGCCACATGGCAGCCTCAGGGACTGCCACCAGCCTCTGCCTCCCCGCAGCAGTCCCCTCCAGCAGATGGGGCTGCACTGCTGCCCACAGGTCTTACTTGACCCTCTTGACTGGCCAAAAGCACTGTCAATGACACTGCCACCTCAGAGGCCCCAGAGTTGTACACAACATGCGACAAAAGCACTGGGAACATTGAGCACTGCAGGACCCATGTCCACAGTGAGTGTGGGAAGGGGTCAGCCCTGGCCAGGATGGGGCAGCAGGGTTAAGCTGCAGAGATGTGTGGTGCCTGGTGCTGAAGTATGCACACGTGGGTACCATCTGCTCCTGGGATTTGTCCACAGCTCAGGTCCCTGGTGTGTGGCCACACGTCCTGGATGTGCTGGTACTAAGCCGCATACATGAGCCCCGGGCCTCTCCCCTCAGAGTGCTGCCTGGGTCCTGCCACACATTCAGGAGGACCATGCTGGGGACACAGAGGACACAGCGAGGACACATGCTGGGCCTCTGGTTCCAAATGGGCCAGCAGGAGTGGCCTCAGGAAGTGTAGACGGAGATGAAGCTGCCTGCCCCAGACCCTCTCCCTCTCTATCCCTCCTCTGTGCCACCAGCTCAATGGGGTACATTCCATTAAGCTGTTCTACTGAATGGGGCTGGGTGCCAGTGTGGGGCAGCCAGCCTGTAACATTCCCGTGTGACAGTCCGTCACGTGGCATCCACCCCTTATGCCTCCTCAGTTGTGGGAATTAGCTGCTCTGCTTTCCTGTCCTTGAGGGCCAGACGCTCAGAGTGCCTTCCCATGGAGGCTGATAGTGCCAATGGTGGCCACCCTGATGCTAATGTGGCATCCCAGGGAGGGGGTGGCCTGCTGCTGTCCTGGGAATTCCTCTCTGCTCAACCCCCCAGGGCTGGTGGCTGTCCAGGTTAGGGTTCAGGGTGTGTGTGGCCACAGGTCCCAGTGGATCTCAATGTTCATAGGCTGGCTGGAGTTGGGCTCTGCCTGGTGGCACCAGGGCACTGTAGGCTGGGGACAGTGGGTAAGGAGGGAGGTGGCCTGGACAGGGCAGGGCTGCAGCCCCTGTGGAAGGAAAGGGCCCCTTGGCTGGCCTGGCCTTTGATGCCACTGGGCACCCTGGGCTCCAGGCCTCCACACTGTGATTATCTAATGGGACCCCTGACCATGCACACCGAGCAGAGACCCCAACTCCTGCGGAGGTCAGGGATGTGGGGGATGAGGGTGTAGTGAAGGGAAGAGACAGCAGGGGAGGCTGTGGGGAGGGAAGGCATGCAGCTGAGTGAGTGGGAGATGGCCTGGGACCATGGGGCGTTGGTAGGGCCAGGGGAAAACAGGGTGTGAGGCAGCCACCACACAAATGGACTGGGGAGGCTCTGAAGGACAGCTATCACCAGACAAGGCCAGGAGAGCACAAGGCCAACTGTGAGGCTGAGCCAGGGCATGAGTAAGAGGAGACAGGGCTGGAGCCCTGCACCAGGGGTGGGGAGCCAGGGGCTGCAGTCCATGGAGACAGGTGGGGGCAGAGTAGGGTGTACCTGCCCTCCCCCAGGTGCCAAGGTGTCTGAGGACCTGCCCTGTGTCCAGCCCCAGTGCACGTGCAGGTGGAATTATGAAGCCACACATCTGCATGCAGTCACAGGCACACATAAGCACACGCATGCCCTGCCACATGCAGCATGCATGTATGGGCATGCAGCTGTCTGCACACACACCAGACCTACTCCCATTTGCACATGGGTCCTCAGGTCTCAGTCACTTGTCAGCCTGGGTAGCCACTCCATTCTGAGCCACAGAGTCTTCCAGCACCTGCCTCCCTGCCCTGCTGCCCTCAGACAGGCTCATTTTGCATCTGCTCCTCAGCTCCCTCCCCTCCCTGCCCCCAGAAGCTGGGCTGTCCAGGTTCTGCTGACTCCCAAGCCCCTAGGTGTCCTTCCTCTTCCTCTCTGTGTCTCCTCTCTTGCAGGAAGACTTAATGGCAGTGTCAGGGAATAAATGAAAGATGGCCCAGCTGGCGGTGATACGTGCTGACCTTTCTGAGCTATCTGTACTAATGTATTCTTGTGTTGTCAGATGCAAAGCACTAACTGCCTCATGAATTATTTATCAACACAAAACCTCAACCAGAAACACTGCTAACACTAATTCTTAACCTTCTGTGTCACAGCTGTGCACTTGCTCCAAATTATTGAATTCACACTTCCCAGGGTGCCTAGTCCCTTATGGCCTCCCAGCTCTCCCAGCCCCTCTCTAGCTGGACCACACCGCTGCCCTGCCTGGTGGCTGACTGTGCTCCAGACATAGGGCCTTCTGTGGCCGTGGACTGTGGCGGACAACTGAGGGACAGCAGCCAGTGGCTCTTGCAGTTTGGGGTGTGGAAGGAGGTACTGGGCTGGACTTCAGGGCCTCTGGGGCTCAAAACTCCTGGTTGGGGTGGACTGGACACAGGGAACTGGCCCTGGTAATAGGTAGCTATGGCCCAGGAAATTATGGTGGGAGGGGCCACATTTTCGCCCTGGAGCTCCCCATCTCCTCGGAACCCAGTGGCCCATATTCTGGGTCAGAGTGGATGGGCCCCTGCCACGCCAGTCCAGGGACACAGGCATTGGCTGCATGGAGCTGTGGGGCCACAGGGAGTTCTGGGGGCTGGGCAATTCAAAGGGCAGCATGGTGGCCCAGGATACCACCCAGTGCCCATCAAAGGACTGGGACGGACCTGAGACAGTGGCCACAAGGCCATGAGCCCCTCGGTGTGGCCCTGCCCAGGACCTGCTTCTACCCCTACCTGTAGACACTGCTGTCATCACTTATACATGTGTGGCATAAGCAAGGGACAGATCAGCATGGGGCCTGGGAGGGGCCCCAGAGACAGCACATTCAGGCACTGCCAGAGGCCTGGGTTTCTCTGTGCCCTTGAGCCTGGGCTATGCCTGCTGGCTTGGGCACTTAGAGGGTGTGGCAGCCAACTATTCCATGTCCCACCATGACACACCTTTTCTACTGTTGTGCTGGGCAGGCTGAGGAAGGCCCTGTGCCCATGGAGAGGGCCCTGGACACCTGATGGGCAATGGTGGGGACAAAGCTATTTGGGGCAGAAGAGTCGCTGGAGGATGGAGCCAGGTTGAGAGATACAAAGGGATAGGCTGAGTTCAGGCAGCCTGGGGAGAGGGAAGAGCAGGGAGGGAGGGGACAGAAGGAAAGGGGAGCCCCAGGTAATGGGGGGAACAGGGACACAGGCAAGGTAACATCACAAGGCTGCACACAAGGGGGTCCTCCTGGGGCACACCCACACATCCACATGCATGCACACACATTTAGTACACACCAGGACCCAACAGGCAGAGGGACACGGCTGTGACACATGCACATGGACATGCAGGGACATGGAACATGGAGGCATGTACACAGGGACACAGAGACATAGGACTTGCAGGTACATATACACAAAGACACGCAAGGACACGCAGACACATGAAGCACAAAGGCATGCACACAATGTGCACACACACTGAAACCCACAGAGAACTGTGTGGCTCCTCTAGATGAGGCATGTACAGCCCCCACCAGGCCATGTCCACAGATAAGTGTCAACACAGCATACCAAGAACCAGTGTGAGCTGTGCATAGGGACAAGTGCCCACCAACTCATGCACAAAGGTACACACACGATTGGCTGACACATCACCACTGAGCCCGGGCTCGGCCACCTCAGCCCCAGCCTCAGGCCTTTTGAAAGGGCTGACAACCATTCCCTCTGCCTGGTGGCTGGCTCCGACTCTGCAACTGTCAGCCCACCTGCCCACCTGACTGCTTTGGGAACTGCTCAGGGATGGTGAGGTGCACATGCTCTGGGTGTGTCTAGTGGGTCGGGGAAGTGTGGCCTTCAGGACTGGATCTGGTCTCTCTGGCACTGTCTGCTGTTCTGCTTCCTGGCCATTGTAAACTGAGTATCTCTGTTCTCTCGTGTTCTTCTGCCACAACATTCCTGCCTTGGAGCCAGCTGACCGTGGACTGAATCCCTTTAAAACATGAGCCAAATTAAACCCCCTCACTTACACTGTGGGTGTCAAGTGTAGTGTTCCCTAATGGGAAAGCTGATGAATACATGCCAGTACCCCACATGCCCTCCAGACAGAAGCCCCACGGGCTGGTGACAGCACGCAGATGTTAGGGAGACTGGGCCTAGGCTCCCATCTGCACATGGGGCCAAAATATACCCTAGCTGCCACAAAAGCTGACCATATACATCCGGGCCCACACACGCCAGGGTTGCCTGCATGCCCATCCAGACAGGAATCCACAGCTATGCCACCCACAGGTGCCTGCTCGCCTGCTGCCATCTGTCCTGCCCATTCCATGCTGTGAGAGTTGAGCACTGCAGCTGGCAGGTTGACTGCAGGCTGCTTTTAGAAAACACAGAGAGAGCAGCATCTGGGAAGAGGACCTGAATGACAAACAGCTCAGGCTCAGGGCTGGGAGACCCCAGCCACAGAGGACCCCTTGTGAACATGCATAGTTCCTCTCAGTGCTCCCAGATATCATGTGAACCATAGGGCCTGGTACCAGCCTGGGGACCTGGCACTGCCGCCCAGGGGCACCTGACCTTGGGGGACCTGTGGCTCAGGTTCACCCTGTCTGCACAAGCACTTCCCAGATGTGTTGGCAGCTCCAGCGGGAGTTCCCTCAGGCCTGCCCACTGCCACATGTGGGCATGTACACCAGCAGCTGCCACAACTCTGAATGCCCCCAGATGGCAGGATGTGGTTGTAGGTATGGGCTGTGGACTGTGGAAACCCAGGTCTGCCCTGCCTTGCCTCGTCTGACACTCTTCACAGGAGCCCCTGACCCCACAGAGGAGGACACAGAAAGGATGAAGCGGCCACCATTGGCTGGGTACCCACTGCCATGCTTAAAGGGTTGCTGGTCATCGTGGAGGGTCTCAGGTCCTGCAGCACCCACTGGGAAAGCTAAGTTACAGGTTCAAGGATACTCCAGCAGGAGGTGGAGCTAAGGCTAGAGGAGTGCTGGCCACTGACCACCCCCACCCAGGCAGGAGGAGGAGGCAGGGGCAGGGGGTCCATTCACAGACTCCACTCACGGCTGTCACTCTAGGCTACCCAGTCCTGGCTTCCTGTCCAGTACCCAGGGACCTGGGGTATCCCTGCTAGGCTCCCAGAGCAGTTAATGGGGTAATTATGTACCCCATAAAGCTGCTGCGATGTACAGAGTGCCTGACAGCTGGCAGTGAACCAGGGCTGCAGGGACAGGGCAAGGGCTGTAAATCTGCAGAAATCAACAGCTTTATGAAGCTCTGGCTTTTAAACCCCTTCTGATGCTTAAGGGAAAATGAAATAAGTCAGGAGGGGGGTTCAGGGGCTGCTCCTGAGTAATACTAGCACCTGGCCATTACCTGCCTGAGGGCACTGGCCAGTCAGGGAAAGGCTCCACACAGCAGCACTCGGAAGCAACAGCTCACTCCCCATGGGCCACAAATCCACCACTCGTTCCCTACCTACACACAGCCCCACCAACCCCACAGAACACGAGCCTTTGTCTGAGCTCAGGCTCCCATGCCAGAGTGCCAAGGGCGGCTGCTCACACCAAGGGCATCTTCCACACCACCCTCTCAGTGCCCCAGTGGGACCCAGAGGCCAGGTCTGCCCACTGTATGGGCAACAACTGGCAGGCTCCCCCCTCCTGGATCCCAGGGCCAACTGCCATCCTGGACTAGCAAGTGTCCTTGAGCTGGTGCTCCCTGGAAACCTGCCCAGGGCACAGCACCCTCACTGCTCCCCAGCTGCAGGCAGAACCAACCAGGCCTCAGGAGGGAGGGCAATGCCAGGGTGGTGGGGGCCTCCAAGTGAGGCTCTGGCAGGAGAAGGGCAGGGAACTTACAGAGTAGCCTCTTCCAGATACTGCCTGTGCTGAGCTCTGTGGGAAGAGGAGGAAAGACAATCAGTGATGGCCACCACCACCCAAGAATCACTGCCCCAGCTGAGCAATGCCCCACAGGAAAGGAAAGCTGGCTGACCAGCTTGGGTGGGCCAAGAAGGCCTGGAGCACCAGGGCCTCCCTACAGCAGTGTCTCCTTCTCTGGCACCACGCCCTCCCTGGCTCAGCCAGCTCCAGATGTCCTGCAGGGCCTCTGGGTGAGCTTGGAGAGGCCATCCTGCAGGGGCCTCCAGATGCCCTGACCTAGGCACAGCCTCACTGGCCAGCGCTGCTGGAGCCATCCTCACAGGGAAGCAGGGACCCTGAGGCTCAGGCCCCATCTCCTGCCTGTGCTTGGGTCACTCCCACTTTCTTCCAGCTGTACCTTCCTTGTCAGGAGGAAGTGGGCAGGGGACAGAAGGAGGGGCAGGTGAAGGCCAATGGCCCGGGCAGTGCCCTCGGGCTCAGTGGGCACTGTATCTATAGCTGTGCCCCAGGCCTGCTTCAGTGCAATGGGGCCACTTGTTTACCTTGGGGCCACTGCAAGAGCTGGATCACCTCCTGTGCCACGACCTGGGGTCAATTCCCTGGTTGTGCATACCAGGCCACCCCACCTGACTGGAGCTGGCTGTCCCTGGTGCCCTCTGCCTGCACGGCCCCTGGGAGACACAGCCCACCCTACTGTGGTAGCAGAGACGCCTTCCGCACCCAGAACCCCCATGACCCTTGCATGGCATCCTGTACAGGGTGCTGCACACAGGGTCCCTGCCCGGGGGCTCACTGTGGACAAACTCTACCCATGGCTAGACAGGGCCTCAAGGCCCAGCTATCCCTCCAGGAATCCCACCTGGGGTCCTGGGGTTAGAGCCGGGCACTGTGAAGGCTCAACAACCACCAACCAGAGCCCCAGTGAACCTGCACCCCACCAGAGACTTGAGGCGTCATGGGTTGTCACCCAGGAGCAGGTGTGGGGACTCACGTCACTGAGCTGGTCTCGGGAGCTGCTCTGCTGGGAGCTGGTAGCTTCAAGGACACTGTCATCATCACTGTTCTGGCCACCTCCTCTGGACATGGTGACCTTCATCTGAGAACAGAGAGGGACAGTCTCAGTACCCCATATCCCTGGCTCTGTGTGTACCAGGCCCGTTCCTCCCATACCTTGGAAGCACCAGGCCCCGCCTGGGATATGGGGAGGATGGTGGCAGGCAGGGCACTGTCAACTCACCACTGGCCTGTGGGCCCAGCTAGCACGAGCACTTTCCCACTGCCAGGACATTCTGATGCAACAGGAGGAGCACAGGGTCCCTGCCCATGCCCACCCTTGTCCTGCCCAGCCACACGGGCACTCACTGTTCCCTCAGTGCCCCCTCCCAATGGCACAGCAACTCCTGGCTGTGTGCCCTTGGGTCTCTGCTCAGCTCCCCTGTGCCTCAGTTTATCACCTGCAGAACAGAGCTGACCCTGCACCCAGGACATCAGCAGCCCCCAGGCAGCGCTCTGCAGCTGCTGCCCAGTCTGCTGTTGTCACAACAGCTCCAAGGAGAAGTCACAGGCAGAAGTCGAGGCCCAGAGATTCAGCTGCCCAGGTGGGGACTGGAGTGGAATCCTGTGTGCGTCACTTTTCATTTGGAAATGATTATAAATCTGCACACATGGAGGAAGGGCCAGTAGGAGCCTCACGCCCCCACTGGCCTGTAGCTTCCCACCCTGGGGTCACAGTTCTTGGCCAGCATGAAGGACATTGTGCAGGGAGCTCCAGGGGTATGTGGACACCTAGTTCACCTGCCCCATCTGCCCATCCTGAAGTCCCGGTGTTCTCAGCCATACCTGTGGCCAAAGTCTTGAGTCCAGCCACTTCCTCAAGCCTGTGCCAGCCCTGGAAACCTGTCCTGGACCAGCCAGGGTGGCTCAAACCAGCCAGATGCTCTCCCCGTGCCCATCTCCCAGACTCAGGCCATGCTCCATAGCCACCGCCTCCCAAGTGAGGCCAGTGACAAGACCCAGATGGTATCAGGTCACATCCAGTGTCCTAACAAGGCCTGGCTGGCACTCTAGGGACCGGGTGGTGAGAGCTCTTGGGAAGACTGGGACATAGCTCCTCACCCAGGATCCTGCCCACCTCAAGGATGGCACATGGGCAAGATGGCAGGTCCCTCAGGGGACCTGTCGCCAGCCCACGAGAGCAGGAACACAGCAGGGTCCTGTCTCCAGTGTGATGAACGCAGTGCTGCCATCCTCCATCCAGACCCCACCACCTCCCTGCACTTCATTCATGACTTACAGGAAAGTAGCCCCTGCTACCTGCTTGGGGAGCCACACTCTGCTTCCTCTGCACACAGGGGAGCACCAGCTGGGCCTGCAGTCTCCACCTCCTCTCTACAGCCTCTTGGGGTATCTGAGTCACCTCCAAGGCCACTGGTTCCTCCTCTGCCCTGCAGGCCTGGCTAGGTGAGTCTCCTGCCCACCTCTCACCCAGCCCCACACAGAGAGGGACACTGGGCAGCCTTGGTCCAGGCATGGGCCCTTTCTCCATAGATCAGAGAAAGGTGTGCCCTGTAACCAGTCCTGAGGATGTAATTGAAGTGGTGAGGGAAGAGGACAGGGAGTGGCCACAGCTGGGGCTTCAGTGAGCTCATGTTGCAGCCCTTTTTCCGGAGTTTGGGATCATTCTTGATCTCAGGGGTCCTGAAGTGTGCTCTGGGGGCAGCAGCTTCAGCCTGGGATGCTGGACAGTGCCTGCGCTCACAGGGGTCCTGGAAGCAGGTCTGGGTCATGAGAGGCTGAGTGCCAGGTACCTACCACCGGCAGGGACAAAGCCCTGAGGCAGCCAGGATCCCAGGTCTCCCGGGCCCTGGGAGGTGCAGGCATGTGATGCACAAGGCTAAGGGGCCAGCACAAGGGGGCTGGTGGGGTGGGAAGAGGTGTGAAGGAAGGTGAGAGCAACACACCAGGGATTCCAGACAGACCAAAGATCACAAGTCCTTCAGAAAGAGCAGCCTGCAAAGCTCTGCCTCAGTGCCTGAGCTGCAGCCCCAGCCCACAGGCCAGAGTGCCTCCAGTCAGCTGTGACCCAGGCTGTACCCCTCCTCTAGCAGCCTCAGCAACCACATCCTGGTTTGAGACCTGTACTTCCTGGTTAGGACATGGAGGAACATAAAAACCACAGCAGGCTGATTGACCAGCACCACAAGCTACCTGCTGGAGGCAGTCAGGGAAACTGAGGCTCCTTGCAGTGTGGCCAGGACACTGCTCCAGCACACATGCTTGCTAGAACTCACATCCTGGGCACCTGTAGACCAGGGCACTGCCAACGCCTTTTGGGTGTGCAGGGGGCACAGCTGGAGTCCAGTTGCTGGGGTGAGGACTGAGCCCTGACTTACACTAAGCAGGATTAGGCCAGCCTGACTGGGGTAGTAGGAAGGCCCCACAGCAGTCCCTGCCTGTGAATTCTGTATGTAAATTCACACTAGGGCTGTTAGCCACCAGTGTACTGGTAGACTTCCTGGGGCTTGCGGAGAGGGATCCTGTGAGCAAGGAAGCTCCCTTATTAGCACTGTGCCCAGCACCAGGAAGGGCCAGCAGGAGAAATGGGGGGAGGGTATGATCCTCCTTGGCCCTGCCCCTGCCCAATCCCAAGCCCCACCACAACCCCCTCCTTCATGCTGCAAAGAAGGAAGCAGCCTTTGCTGGCAGAGGCCCATTGCACCCTCCAGGCCAGGCCTGATACAGGTGGCTCTATTCTACAGGCCCAGCAGGGCCCTGTAGTCCTTTTGTATCCCCCTGTTGAAAAGAGGAACAGGGGACCCAGCAGTGTCCATCTCCTTCCTCACAGAAGTCAGCAAACCCATGGCAGCAGACCACAGATGCACAATAGGCATGGATGCATGGAGACCTTGAAGTATCACTCCAGACCATACAATTTGTCCCAGCACCATAGGGGCACACACAAGGCCTCCCTTGGCCCTAGACCCCTGTGCACATAGGGAGCAGAAGCCATATGGATAGCAGGGATGGTGACTCTGAGCAGTGTAGTGCACAACCTGAGCCGTTGGGGAGTCACAGGCAGGATCAAACCCAGGGAGGCACTGCCTGGTCATCAGCTCAGCCTGTGGCACACCACAGCCCAGCCAGTCACTGCATCCACAGGCCTGGGAGCCAGGGTAGGGCTGCCTGGCTTTGGTTCTGCTGCTGGACCTGGAAGGCCTGACAAGGGGCTATAGCTCCCTCAGACTGAACAGGCCCAGGACAGCCCCTGCACCCTGTGGGGCTAGGCCTTGGAGGAAGGGACCACACACCTCAGAGCCTGTGCCAGTAGAGACCCAACACAGTGCCATCCCTCACAGCTTGGCCCTGAAGCAGCAAGACCTGCTGTCCAGAGCCTGGGCCCAGAGTCTTGCCAAGCTCTGGAGGTGACGCCCCCGCCCAGCAGCCAGCACTGGGCCTGATTGGTGGATGTTGGCAGGGTTGTGAGCCGGCTGCTGAGGAGCTGAATGCTGCCCCCACCAGCCCCGTCACCCCCAGGCCTGCCTCCCGGGACTTCATGTCACAGGGCTATAGCCCATGCTCTCCTGGGAAGCTCCTGGTGCTCCCAGGTCTGGCCACCCTGACCCTGGGTGCTAGCCTTTCTGCACATGTCCATTGGCCCCCAGCCAGCTCTTCCCATGGTGCTAGCCTAGGCTCATGTGGCTCCCCAGGTCCCTCAGAGCTGGGACTGAGAATCATCTGGCCAGGGGGCTTTGAGGCCTCCACCTCTGCTGCTTCCACTGCACTGAACTCTGTGAGCTGGTCAGGCATTTTCCTGTTGACTACAGCACTGTCTACAGCACTCCAAGCACCTGCAGGCAGAGCCTCCACTCTGTAACCAGCTCAGCTTCAGCCCAACCTGTGCTGGAGACAGCACCAGCTGCACGTGTGTCTGCCAAGTTCACGTCCTGTACCCAGCGTGAGCCTGGGCAGTATGCAAGCACAGCCCAGCTCCGTGTCAGTGGATAGTCTCCATCTGCAGTGAGGTAGGGGACATGCCCAGGAAGGGCACAGGCATGGGCCAGGCCAGGAAAGGGGCCCTCACACAGATGCTGCAGGCCTTCAAAGAAGACTGTTCTTCATGGTGGGTGCCCGATGGGGATCCCGGTCTTCCCCAGCACCAACCAGGCTGCCTGACCAGCCCAGGCTCCTAGGGAGAGAACTTGGGCACCTCTCCACACTCACAGATAGGCTGTGGTCATGCTAGGGTTCTCAATGCACAGAGGGGTGGCCCCTTTGCAGTCCAAATGGAGGCCCTGCTGTTAGAGCCTGTGGAGGAGAAAGATCCCTCGAAGCAGGGCTGCAGACAGAAGGAATATGGCTAACAAGATCCTGGTGCCAGCCAACCACCTGTCCCCCTCTCCACAGTGCATACCTGTTCAGGTCAGTGCAAGCCCTGCTCCTTCCATAAGTCCTTCCCCATATCCTGTGCCCTGTGTGCCCCTAACCTGTGTAGGAGAGCCTTTCAGGCTCCAGTGCCCGAGAAACCCCCCTGAAAGTGAAGGGAGATCATAATGCGATGGATCTGCGGCATCCCCCAAGGCCATGGACTGAAGGTCTGCACTCCAGTCTCTGGGAAAGGTGCCTTGAGGGGATACTGGAACCCTGGCCCCTTCCTGTTTCTCTCCTTGCTTCCTGGAGGAACTAAGTGTACAGATTTCTTCTGAGCTCCCTCCATAATAAGCCAAGATCAGTCTGTTCTCCATATGAGTTATCACAGGTCCTTGGTCAGTGATGCAAAGCTGTTAAGTACAGGCTGCTTGTTGGTTTCTCTCCCCACATGAGACTCAAAGCCCAGCAGGCAGGACTGCCATCTACTCTGTCTGGCACTGGCAGGCAGTGAGGAAGGATGCAGGCAGTGTTGAGATGACCAAGTTTTCCCCAAGTTAGCACAGTGTCAGGAAGCAAGCTGCTGTCCCAAGTGCAGCCATCCTCGTAAGCTGCTCCACATTCTATTGGGTTTCATATGGTTCAGTGGAGAGATGGGTGAATGATCAGATAAGCTCATGGTGGATGAAGAGATAGGCAGATGGACAGATAGGTGGATGAATATCCATGGGT